AGCCTCTTGGTCTAAGAGCTAGGAGACATGAAATCAACAGAAGATACAGACATTCCACATTGCTGAGAAGACAAAGGTCTTTCACATTTAAAACACTTTTTTTTTTTGAATTTGAATTTGAAAATGTATATTTGGACCTGTATTCAACATTTTTTTTAAACATTCTTTTGACTGAGAATTGGGAACTGTTTGGAGAAAAGAGAACTGCATAGTTCACAGCTTGAGAGTGTGCTACATTTCCAACATTGCTTATGCTGGTTATTCGTATCAAATTTCAAAGACTTACTGTAAAATACTTAATCAAGATGCAGTCACATACTGATAATAGCTGGGTTTAGGTCAACTGATTTTAATATTAGTTTTTGGAGATAATGAGTTTAAAGTTATAAAATGTCTGACTTTTGTTTGGTGGTCTGTTATTTTCTTAGATGAATGGGATAATATCAACCCAGTCATCTCTCCTATTAAATAACATGATCACGATGGGACTCTGCAGTATTTGCACAGTATTTCCAAACCAACTTTCATTCAAAAACAATTAGAAGGGAGGCCAAGTACACAGAACAAATTGAAATTTCTGTGTGTATTTCTAAAAGAAACACAGAAGAGGGAGCTCAAGGCCTGGGAAGAAAAAGGTCCTGTAATACTACTTTCTCGTGGCTTTTTCTTTCTTTCTTTTTTTTTTTCTTTTCTAGGAGGATAAGTGGCAAAAAAGCCTTTGTTTGCAGGAAATCCATAAACCAACTTGCACAGAGAAGCTGAACTCATGCACATGGTGTTCTCCTCGCCTGTTAACGACGAGGTCTTTTCCATGCATTTGTGGACACCAAGGAGCTCAGCACTGGTGCTAGGCTGACTCTAGAGAGCAGTAAGATCAGCCCCTGAAGGTGCCTCCAAACTGGCAGGCTGCTTAGTCTTTTGAACACGAGATGGTAGCCCTGAGGCGAACCTTGGGAAGGGGCAGTCTTCTACTGCTATACACGCACAAGAGAGAGAGAGAGAGAAAAAAAAAAAAACCTCTTTAAAAAAGCTGGCCTCTCCCCCAAAGTCAAGGACTAGAAGGGAAGGTGGAAAGGTACATGGAAAGACCAAGAGCTCATCTGTGACATATATTATTTGGGCTGCACATGATAGGCATAATTTCTCCTTGTAGGAAAAGGTGGATGATGGTGCTTCATTTACCCACGGAGCAGCCTTTTAAGAGGTAAACACTGGTGCTATATCTTCAGCATATCTGCACTTCCAAGGAGCTTCAGAGCCATACACACAGATGAGGCCTTTCTAGGATAGCTTTGAGCAGCTAGGTATCCTGTCACAGTCCTGGGTCACACTCCCTGTCTAGCCCAAATGGCTTGGAGGATAAATCAGAAGAAACAAAACTCTTTTATGACTCTTGCTGCCCTGTAAAACAGACAAGGGTGATCTGGGATCAAGCAGGAGCAGAAACTGCAACATAAGGCCTTGGCAAACACAATATCTCTTCCCTTCAGGTGACACCTGAGGAAAATTTCCAATTAAATCAAAAGCTCTTCTGTTAGTGAATGGCACAGACTTTCTGTCCTCATAGTATTTCTGAGAAAACGAATTCCTACAGGAGCATAAGGACCACTAGATACTACTTCAAGCACCAAATTCCATACTTTTTATGTTGGTATACAGAGTGTGCAGCTAAATTAGTGCTATGATTCCCCCATTATAACACTATTCAGTACTGGTGTAAACCAGGTGTAGGAAGGAATGGTTAAACTATATCACCTCAGAGGTTTCTAGATCAGTGGGGTTTTCTGTGAACTGGGGGTTACTGTAGTTTGATTTTAGCTGAAGGCAAGCAGGGCACCTGCACTGTGCTTTAAGCTTACTAGAGCATTTTGATAATAAAAGTTTTAGTATATCCCAAAGATTTAAAGGAAACCCATCTGTGTCAAAAATGATACAGGGTGATAAAGCTGGTATTGGGATGTGAAGTCCTGGAAGATGGGAGGATTAACAAGTGCACATCAAAAGTTTTTTAAAGGAAGGTGATAACTCCTGCTCCAGAAACAAGTGAGACATTTCATCCTTCTTTCAATACTTCCAGAATACTGGATATGTACTACTAAAATGAAGAATTACTGAGATATTAACATGACTTTTAACACTCATTTTGGAAAAGTTAAAAAAAGAAAAAAGAAAAAAAAGGACCTGGATTCATTTTATGACTCCACAATCCTTTTCTGAATAGCTATCACAAAACTACCAACAGGAAGTAGGGAATTCTGTGTAATGTTGGTGTCCCAGCACCTGTAAACCAAATTGATTCAGTGCAGCAGTGGAAAATCAGTAGGAGGAGGTATTAGAACTCATTGAACTTCACACTTGGGAAAGAGATCAGAGGATCTGACGTTAATGCATGAAGCTCCATGAGGGTTTAACTTCTCTATGCTTGGGACCTCTAAAAACACAACAGATGAAGATGATGCTGTATTGCTTCCTGTCATAGAAACAATTTTCAGCCTGGGATAGGAATGCCACAAGCAGTTTTCCTGTGATCCACCAGAAAATCCACCACAACACAGCTTTTCAGTATAAAAGCCTGAACATGGTTCTAAATCTGCTGAAGAAATAAACACACATCACAGCAAAATGTCATATATGGCAGATCTGATGAAACGAATGCCTCCTTTATACTACTAACTGTAATATAATAAAAGGGCATCATTGTTTTACTTAAATTATGACTTCAGGCTAGATTTTCCTTTCAGTTACATCATTCTAAAAAGGGATACCTTTACTTGCATCTATAAGTTTACACTGATATAACACTGAGAAGGGAGAACAAGTGGACTTTACAGACTTATGCCCGAGAAGAATGAATCTTTCGAAAAGTGAACGTGAATACATACATGTACATACATATGCACATGAATAGATGCATTTCACCCACCTATTTCATCCCCTAGAGAGGAGTTCAGTATGGCACCGGCAGACATAACTACGGCACAGCTCCCAAAGCCATGTGTATACAATTTGCCCAGTGGAATTTGGGGAACGTGCTTTTCCCAACCAAGAGTGGAGAAGGGAGCTTCCTTGCCATCTATTGTTTTCACATTCACCCTTTCTTTCAGCTCACAGAAAAGCTGGTCTCCTGTCAGTTTGGAGTTTCGTTTCCCTTTGAAACGCACCCCATGCTTATTGGTGCTCAAATAATCTTTCATGGCCTTCTGCAGACGAGGGTTTAGCATCTTGGAAGAGACATCCCCTTTCCAAAGCTTGTAGAGAAAAGATTTCGACATCGTGGAATATAGCCCATCCCAGTCGTCAGATTCGTCAAGCATCTGGCTTCTCCTGTGCCTTGTGTTCCTTCTCCTCATTCTTCTCTGGTGGCTCCAGTTATTCTGTAAAACATTTTCCTTTGGATTACCCTCATTGGCAGAGATGAATTTTGCTATTTCTTGAAGGCTGTTGTGTGACTGAGGCTGACCAGCAGCAAATAAATAATCATTACTCGTGTGGTAGAAAGCACCTTTGGATTTTCTTCCTATCTGGGATGGAAAAAAATCATCTTCGCTTCTGAAGGCATCCTCTAAATCAGTCCATTTTTTAATACTTCCAGTCCCCGATTTAAATGTACCTAAAAGATCTTCATTAAGTACCACCTCATTCTCATCAATAGTTTCAGAGAATGATGGATCGTGTATGGCTCCCATTATGACTCTCTGCTTGCCCTGGATGGGCAGAAGCCTCTTAGTTTCAATGTAAGAAAAGGAACTGGGAACTGGCTCAGCAGTGTTGCTATCTGTAAAATAGATGAAGATCACCAAAAAAAGCAGCCCCCATGCAAAGATCCCAAACAGCATGAGTTGTTTCCATTGCTTCAAGTTAGGTTTCATGGCAATGCCTTTACCAGCTCCTCTGTGCCTTGAAGTACTGGTGAAGGGAAATGAAACCTGGAAAGAACATCAAATATTAATCAGGAAGAGTTCTAAAAATAGACACAGTTCAGAAATATTTTAGCAAATTTTGATAGAAAGTGCAGAATAAATCTCTATTCTGTAGCATGGGGGATTCAGAAGCAGGGGAAAAAAAAAAAAAAGAGAGACTCCAGGGCTTGCAGACACTGCAGGAGTGACACGCTTTGGCTCTAACCACACAGTGACAGCTGCTAGCTACAAAAGGAGCTGGTGACCAGTTTCTACAGTAACACTGGATCCTGCCTTCAGGGAGATCATGTGCCTGCCTGCTTCTGCTGCTGTAAGGAGCATACCATAATAAGAGCTAAATCAAAGCCCCAAGCCTAGCTGCATGCATATTAGAGGAAACATTAGCTGCTTTCTCTTTGTCACAAAAAGTCCTTTTGCAGTGAGACTATAAAACAGCCTGGGCACAAAGGGACCAGCCAGGGAGCAAAGGAGCATACGGTCCCCCAGGTCCTCCTCTGCTGGTGTCCCTGAAAAGACAGGGTATTATCAAGGAGGTGTAGGAGAGAGTATCTCACAGACAGGACGGAGGGTAGTCTTTTCTTTGGCCAGTATGAACTGTACAGCATCAGTGGGGCAAACGACTTGTTGGGAATGGAGTGCAGTTCAGAACTGGATTCATAATATGAGAAAAACTATTATATTTCTGCTGCAGATGCTGCATGCTCACTAAGATAAGTTGGAGGAATATTCTGAAATTCTGCATGTTAAGAGGTGAGGAGTCCACATTTTCCAAAGAGCATGACAGCTGGTACAACTAACTGAATATATACATATAGATGGAAATTTTCTTAAAGGGGACGGGGAGAGGAGTCAGAGCGAGGCTTGGAAATCTGTGCTCTACTAATCCCGCCTGACTGAGGGGAGTTGCTTTCCAAGGAAAACACATTAATGCATTCCTGGATCAAGGGGCCATCACACGCATTATGTCCGTCTATGCTATTCAGCTGGTCACCTGCGGAAGGAGGTAGTCAGGGAACGGTAGCCTGGGAAGACTAGAAGTTATCTATCGCTTTTCATCAACATAAGTATGGGGTTGTCATGGGCCTGCCATGCATGACTCTTGCTAGCCACTCAAGAGGCTTCAGGAATCCACAGACCTTCCTGAACAGGCCCTGCAAGCCCACATATCCTTACTTCGCAGGCCGCACACATACAGCTGTATGAACAGCTGCTGCCCACACCGTGGATGTGAGGTTCAGAGTTAGGTTAACCAGCTCCTGAAGTGCCTTGGAGCAGGTCTGGCCAAAATGAGTCACTGTTATTGAGAACCTGACAGGGAGATACCTCTCTCCCTCACACCCTGGTTTTATCTGTTGTTATACTAAAAACTCAACAAGTGCTCTAAGTCAAAGTCTCACTATTCAATAAGCACATCCACTAAAAGGTGTCCTGACTGCAGGCTGTCCTTTGACTGCTTCCTAGGGCCTTGTCTGAAGAAGGAAGCATGAACTCATTCACACCGTTACTTGCATAACCAAGTGCCATTGTCTTCTAATTTAGCTTAAGAAAGTCGTGTCTCCCCTTAGCATAGGGCATTTATTCACCTCCATGCATCACGTTCATCTACTACCTCAACTGCAACCTTGCAGTATACTACTGCGTGACAGATCACTTACCTGATCTGGCTTAAAAATAATCCCTTTCTCTTTGAGTTTTGTTTCTAACCCGTTTGTTTCAATGACCAGTTAACACTGGGACTTAAAAGCCACTTGTAACAGTCAGTTGTGGTCAGAAAAAGGTAAGCAGAGTTGGGGCTGGCTTGAATTTCATTAAGAGGCTCTGCTTTCAAGGCCACCATCTCATTAAACCACTACCAAACAACACGCACAGTTGCACATCTCTAACTGCACACTGGCTGGTTATCCTTGATAACTTTCCAGGACCAAAATCGTAGGCATCATATACTCTCACTTTTCTGAAAGTCATGATGAATGTGAAGTTTATAACCCATTTTTAAGGCTGTATTTCATATCCTGAAAAAATGAACCAGTTGGAGTTCCTCATTCTGTCCTTACACCATGCCACTGCCTCCAGCTTGTGTAACACTGCCATGCAGGAAGCTGCATAATGAGGAACCAGAGCAGGGAACGGATACGGCAAGGCTGGGGGAGAAGAAACATATGTAATGGAGAGTACTTCTGTGTTAACTGGGTCAGCTCCTTTATCCATTTTGGGTGGCCACGCATACGGTTGTTTCAGCATATATGAGGAGACTGCCCACTATGATGCCGAGGCGAGAGCAAACCACAGGTGCTATTAGCAGGGATACTTTAGACCAGCATTTCTGCTGACCTCTTTGGAATGTGAGGCCATGGCGTTACATTTCCAAATACAGTCTGTTTTAAGAGCCCAGACAAAGCCTAGAACATCAGAAAAGCAAGCCAACTCCAGGAGCTAGAGCAGCATCCAAACAGGGGGATGATTCATAATATCACATCTGGATGGCCAAATTTTATTGCAAGTAAATTCAGTTCTAATACACTGAAAAAAAAATCATGAGTATGATAACCCTGTGCTCTACACACATTTGGCTTGGCTTACACAAACCACATGGAAAAAAAAAAAGCTATTACTCCAAGTGACCCATTTCCTAGTTGTACTCTATTGCTGCAAGATTGTTCTCTTCAGTATCTCAGCGCTTCCCCCACCTCCTCCAATTTTAAATCACTACAGGCTACGTCCTGTGGGAGTCTCCTTTCAATATATAACTGTTGTGCAACTGAGATCTGCCCTGAAGTTATTGCAACGTGCCCACTCATCAGGGTTGGGATGTTTTGCATTTTTAAATCAGCATTCTCTGCCTGTCTGAATGACTTTCATCCCTTTTTATCATTTTCCCTACTGTGTTTCCCTAGCACTTTTCAACATGTGGCTTCCAAACCACTGTATAAGTTAGCCTTTGCTCCGTCAGATGTTTCTCCTGCTGTATATACATTTCTTACAGGATCTGCAAAGGAAGCATCTTGCAGATTTTTTTAACAGAAGAGCTTGCAGGAAGTATAAGCTACAAGGGAAGAGGTCACTAATATTTTCCACTGACTCATGCAACAAGTTCAACCACCAATTTAAACACAATCCATCAGAAAATCTCATACTTTTCTCACTTTTTTCCCAGGTTATGCTATATTTTAATGCCAGAACACTATGAGAAACAGAATGGCTTAGTTTTCTTAATTCAGGGGTGCCAATATGAAAGTTTTTAATTGTCTGTGCTAATGTGTGCTTGGTACAGGAGACGACCTTAGCAGAAAGAATTAACCTGGAGTCCTGAATTTGATATTCAGGTTACAATACAAAAAAGGGATGAGTTGCATTACTAAATATTTTTAAATCATATTTTTTTTATTTGACATTTACATGGTCATGAAAAACTTATTAGTATGCACATATTTACCTTTTTCATGCAGCAAAAAGTTATCTGTGCAAATCAAAGAATCGGCATACAGCAATGAATTTGTCAACACTGCAAGCAAAAGGAGAGACACCAGTAAGAATAAATTGGAAAACATCACATATTAACTACTACAGAAGCTTATCTACAATCCCTTGTTGCAAGTGGGGCCTCAAAAAGGATACTCAAATCTCTTGAAGACCTGAGCTATGCAGGCAAATCTCTGTGCTGCTTTAATGTTTTTTGCTCACAAGAAAAGCCTTGTCCTCCAGCTGTACAGCTGAGCTGGAAGCGAATTCAAGGTCATTACTCTATTAGTTGTAAGAGGACCCCTACAACCTTACAGGATCTTGAAGGCTCTGAGTGGAAAGCTGCACTAAATCTGAAGAAATCTCAGTTCATCTCATCTCCCTCTGCACTAAACATTAAGTCACATCCCCCTTCAGCCCCAGTGGCTTCTCACACCTTGCAGACACTGGCCACACTCCCTTCTCGTGCAGCGGGGAATTGTCCCCAAACCATCCAAGTATGTGCTGATGCTCACAACGGATGTTTCTGAAGACAAGGCACCTCAACTGAAAAAAAAAAACACTCCTCTGTGTAGCAAACCAGAAATGAAAATGAATTCTACTGGCTGAATAAAGAAAAGCAGGCAGTTTCATGAATATGTTTATGGAAGTCCACTGGCTCCCTCAGGAATAAACTTGTATCCCTCTCAGCTGCACTCGTTGGGCAGTTTTTTCAAGCTGTCAGAGCAAATCTATACCAATTTTAAAATTATCAGTAACACTGCTTCTTGTCTCCAACTTCACAACCCGTTCCTTAACAATTCTCCCTGCTTACAGGCCACTAGAACCCATGCTTTGACAGGAGACTGGAGTCACAAGCCTGCATGTAGGTGAGGAGGTGAGGAGAAAACAAACAAACAACAACAAAAAAAACCAACCACAAAAACAAGACCTAAACAAATCCAGTTACTTGTTCAGCAGAGTGAGTCGCCCGTATAGTTGAAGATCTTATTTTGCCACATCTCCTATCTGCTGGGCTCTTTCAACCATTAGCTGATATAAACTCCAACTGCCCCATGCACAGGGAGTTTTTTCCCGGCCAGGCACATTGCTTGGATTAAAAATACAAAAGCATGACACAAAGTACAAATCAATGAGCTGAGTAGAAAGCAGAGACTTACTTATTTGCTTAACAGAAGTATTAAGAGCATCTACGAAAAAGAAAGGCAAACCACAAGCGTATCTTTGAAGCTCCTAGAAAGCAGAGTCAACTTTTCAGTTAAAACTAAAGGAAGTTGTTTTTCCAGAAGCAGCACTCCTTTATGGGAAATTTCATTTTGCCACGCTAAGTTGCAAGAAACCAATGAGGGCTCCCCCACACACCACACTGCCGATTGCTTTGCAACAAAAGCACAGTTTTATTTTTTCTCAAGTAGGCCTCCTGACTATTTCTTAAAATGAGAAGAGATGGATGAGGGAGATTTTCCTTTTTTTTTTTTTTTAATTATTATTCCTTTGAAACATTCCTCCCTTTCAACGCTGCCTA